CCTGATACCAAAACAAAATTAAAATTGGATATGTAGGGAAGGAAATATATGCAAAGTTAACTTCAGAGGTTCTAGGAACCAGAACTCATCTGAAGAGAACTGGTTTGATTTTGGAAACTTTCGAGAGAATCATGTAGCATCCAGTGAAGAGGTAGTTTGTGTAGATGGGTCTCTGCGAGGGGAAAGATCTTAGTTGAAGAAATGTACTTGGGGGTTACGTGCAAAAATATTGGAAGTAATATCATGAGAGTAAATTAGATCACTTAGTTCCCGGAATGGAGTTTTGGAGGGAGGACACCAGGCAGGAATTCTAAGAAAAAAACCAATGTTAAGGCTGGTAGATGACGGTTAAAATTACCATTTGAATTTTTTATAATGAAAGGTAAGATAAAGGAAAGCCAGGCAGGAATCAGGGATGTGACTCAGTGATACAGCGTATGCTTTGCACGTGTGAGGTCTTGGCATCAGCCTTTGGCACAAGAAAAATCAACATGAACCCATGTGGCATCATGTGCTTTAAAATCAGTAATGAAAACATTGGTATGTTCCATTATCCATTATCCATGGAGGAGAAAACTTTTTAAAAAAAGTTTTAGTTTGCATATAGGTGGGCGTGAGGGGGCATGGATCCAGGAAAAGCTGCACAATGGCTAGTTTTCTTATTGCAGAATTTTTAATTAAACGCCTCAGGTGCTGAATTCACTCTGTCTGCTTTCAGTGCTAAACTTTTAAAAGGGGGGCCCTTGAAGAGTCTCACAGTGGTACTTTGGCAAGTAAATATCTAGAAATGCAGGGCCAGGTTGAAAAATCCATCACGCATTTATTAGCAATGTTGTTTCTCTACCTTGTCATCAATGTTTAAATACAGTACTGCAACTGAGCACTCAGGGGAAATTCAGAAGCTTAATATACAAACATACTCTTTAGCTTTTGGTAAGGTTCTTACAGAGATAATTCTTGAAGAAAATAAGATGTCACAAAGTAATGGGCAGAAAGAGCTTATGGGATAGAAAGCAAATCCAATAACAGGAAATAGTATTACTCTTGGCAGGAAGGTCAGATGAAGTGGGAAGATAATTTCCTAGAGGTGACAACATTTCCATAGAGTCACAAAACTAATTGCCGACAATGCCAATTATGGTGAAAAGTCTTAGAAGAGGGCAGCAGATACCTGTCAAAAGGAACTCAGTATTGAAAAGAAGGCCAGATGTTCAGGGTAAATAAGTGACTGTCTGAATCTGAGGGAGATGGTCTTGAGAGAAACGCCATTCTCAGGTCAACGACATATCGAGGCCCACTCCCAAATCACGTGGCGCACGTTCACAGACCGTGGTTATGTTTGTGCAGTTGAGAGCTCTTTAAGGAGCTGTCCTGTTGTTACTCATCTGTCAGAGGGGTATTTCCTATTCCTATGTGTACCCCAGAACCCTACTTGCGCAATTTTTAAAATTCATCCTTTTTATTTTCTAGATTGAAAATATTTTCTCAGAGTTTAGGTAATATGGTCACAATAGTGTTTAAATTTCAAGTACTGATGTGCAAATTGACTGTACTTCATCACCACTAAGTGCCCATGATTCTCCGACACTGTTTTTATTTTTTTTTTCAATTTTTTTTTAATTGCATCACCGTGAGATACAGTTAGAAAGCTTTCAAGATTGGGTTTCAGTCATACAATGGTCCAACACCCATCCCTCCACCAGTCTACATTTCCCAGCACCAGTGTCCCCAATCTCTCTCTCTCTCTCTCCTCCTCCTCCTCCTCCTCCTCCTTCTCTTCCTCCTCCTCCTCCTCTCTCCTTCTCCCTCTCCCTCCGCCCCATTATGGTTTGCAGTACAGACACTGAGAGGCCACCCTGTTTGGTCCTTTATGCATTTTCACTTGCCCGACTTCTACAGGGAGCACTGGACTGCCTTCCCACTTCCAGTCCTTCTTGCCTCTCCATCAACCTTCTCCCTCCCTCCCTCTCTCCCTCCCTCCGCCAACATCAGAGAAGAACTTAACAAATGGATCTAATTACCACAGTGGTTTGAGGCTCCTCAACTGTTCTTTCCCTTCCAGCTGTAAAGATGTCCTCAGACCGAGCTTCACACTCAGAAATGCTGTCAAACTCTCACTTTAATGGGCACTTAAATTTAATGTCAAGCTGATGCCTGTGCAAGACCTTGATTAAATTTGCAAACAGTAGACTCTCACTACACCAGAACTTTAGAGTTGTCTCATTTTGCCTTTCAAGCTCAAATCCCCGAAGTTTTCTTTTCTTCTTTGCAAAGAATTACAGAAGTTTGCTTGCAAAGACCCTGAGTATCAGGAAGGCTGCAAAGTGTTACAAGCAAAACATTCTGAGTGCTTTTGGAGAGAAATGAAATCCCTCAGCTTATTAAAATTCAATATGAATTAAAGATCTTTTCCATTGCTTTATTTTGCTCCCTCTCATCCAAAATCTGTAACTATTCACTTTTATGACTCTATAATATTGTAAGCAGTCCTAAAAAGCTGAAATCCTCTGTGTTCTTTTATGTACACTGCAATTAAGAGTTTTGTATACTGTACAGGCACAAGAAAAAGCATTATGGGGAAAAGAACATAAAATATGATTTAAAAAAAAACTCCCACAATAGTATCATTGCTTCGACCAGCTACACATTCGCAACCTAGTCTCTTTCCTCTGCTGTTTCTTCTTTTGTCTGTGATAATCAAACAGTCGTTTCTCTTGAGGAGGTAATAAAAGACTAGAAGTCAGAAGATCTGTTCAGCTCATTCTTTATCACTGGCGACTGTTTTGAAGAGAGGCTGCTGGCTTTTGATTTCTCTTTTGGGTTCTTCAACATGTGATTCAGGCATGTCTGCTTTCAAAGAAAACAAATCAAAATTGCCCAGACCCATGAAGCATGAAAAATAAATTGCTTTTCCAACTCCAAAAAGCACCCAAAAAGCATTAATTTCTATCTTCTTTAGAAACCTCTAACCTCTATTCTCTCATCTATACACTTCGCAATATATATAAGTATATATGTATAATATATCTAAGTATATATGTACATATATATTCTTCTGTACAAAATATGACAGGCAATCAAGTCTTACTACAAAGAAACTGAACCTACAACTAATATTAAATTCAGTGTTATATTTTAGTTTGACTAGACACATAAAACATTCAGGTAGGTTTGTTTCTTGGAGCTGCGATTTCTAAATAAACAGTCAACTAAGATACAGCTACTATGTAGTAATGGCTTTTTTTAGAAATAAATTTCTGAATTCTTGGAGCTGCGATTTCTAAAATAAACAGGCAACTAAGATACAGCTACTGTGTAGTAATGGCTTTGTTCTTTTAGCTAGTAGGAAGCACTGGCATCATAAAAGAAGAACATAAGGCAGTAGGGAAAAAATAGCCCTGCAAAATGCTGCCTGATATAAAATAGCCTGTCATAAGATTTTTTGTGGAACTACAGCAGTGAGACTGCTTCTAATCGGTCCCCTCTTTTAATACAACAGAGACCCACATTTCAATGCTTAGCTTTCCAGAGCAAACTTAATGCTGTAAAACAGCCAGGTTGTAACTGTCCTTATCATGTCTTAAAAAACAAAACTTGTGTGTTTTTTCAGTTCATAGATAAAGTTGAAGGTAGTCATCGGATTCCTGTGGAGAACTATACATGATAAACAAAATAGCAGATGGCTTCGAAAAGAAGAGATTTATGGGGGTAATTTGCAGTAGAATACTACTGTATTCAGAACTAGGAAATAATCATTTACTAAGACAAGTCAAGATTTAGAGAGCATCTCTCATTTAAATCGATGTGACTATTCAAGAAAACTTTGCCCAGCAACCTACAGTGAAATCTGACCATCTGACATGCTAAGGTTCTGATGCTTCGATGCTGCTTAAGTACTTCTCACATTACTGCAATTTTCCGCAGGATTTAAAATGTAGTGTTTCTGAACCCATGTCATCCTTTAAATGGGACTGTCATGAAGAGAAAACGAAAACTCCCTTCTCCACTAGGAAGAGAACCCAAGCAGACGATATTCTTACGTAACCCAAGATAACAGGTGAGGAGGGGTTACGCTTCAAGTGTTGGTCTCTTCTTTCTAAAAGCTCAAAGCTCTCAGGGCGGAGAGAGGAAACTGGCTAGAACCCCCCAAATAATAAAGCTCCACAAAGCAGAATGAGTGGCATCTGTTTGCCAAAGGCAAAAGAAGAAAACAGGGCGATAACCCTCCATATATTTTAAGTTCTACTGCTGGCACCGAATGAAGCTACTATATTCATAAGGGTATTCTTTACTGGTTAGTGGATCCACTAAGTCGATCTGGCAACTCATAGCAAACACAGAAGTAGTTAGGCAGAACTGGGGAGAGATTGCTCCATGGGCTAGAGTCCTTGTTTTGCAGGCAGCAAACCTGTGTTTAATCCCAAGTGGCCACAGTCCTCTGAGCACCCAGAGGAACAAACAGCGGAAGGACTTGGAAGGTGGAATAATAAATACTCTACATATTCCTTACAAATTTCTTGCTATTCTTCATGAATCTGCCCCCAGAGTGAAAGGAAAATGACAGCAGATAAGGAGCATTATTATTTTACAGTAAAAAAAACAAAACATCTATTTATTAACAGTGTCATTGACTATATGAAGTCTGGTTTTCTAAATTCCCAAGTCATAATTCACTTCAGTGGGCTAAAAGCAAAAATCTCTTGGCTACTAACCACAAATGTCCAACTCAAGAAGGAAAATGTTTACAAAATTGATGTCTTCATTGGACATCAGCGTCGTGTAGGGTATTCCAAAGTCCCACTTAAAAACTGAGGTAATATTAAATATATTATGGCAAAGGACCAGAAAGATGATGGTTTATAGGGCTGGAGCACTTTGCATGCTGAGCTCCGGGCTTGATTCCCATTATCCCATCATCACATGGTTCCTTGAGCACCACCGGAGCGTCCCAATACAACAAACAATCTGTTATGACACAGAACACTTGGAACTACACTCATACCATTATGATCTTTATTGACAAAAAATGGTCCCGCACAGAATCAGGTAGAAAAATTATCTCACACAATAGAACTGAAGTCACATCTTTCAAGTGTTACATACGTATTTCAAGAAAAATTCTTCTCTTTCATCAAGAGGTCTTTGTTTCGACAAGGTCTTTGCAAGCCTGCTCTCCTAAGAAGTGTGAGCGAGCACATGTGGTTTGAACGGGGTGTAGGGACACTTTAATAAAAAGGCATAAAACGGGCCAAATCTTAAAAAGTAGAACATGAAAGTTACTGGGGAAAAAGGTTAACTGAGAATCAGTCATTGAAGTAACTCTCCAGTCCCTCAATGTCCATTTCCAGAGAAGAATTTAAGGAGGCCTGAGAAGACAGTGCTTCTTTGGGCTTAGGGACGCTCGGTTTGTTTTGAGGAGTTTCTGCTTGGAGAGATTCCTTCTTGATGTCTTTGCCACCACTTAGAAGCCGCTGGCTCTCGCAAAAGAACTGATTAGGATGATTCAGGGAAAAGCCGCAATCATCAACCTATAGAGGAAAGGAAAGAAAACATCACATTAGTACAGAGCACTTTTCATTGGGGTAGTAAAGACGGATCATACTTTCTTATCTATCCAGCGTCTTGATTTGGTAATTACTGGTACATGGAACTTATTCATTGCCATTCTAGCTTGTCTTTTCTGGTTGCTCTGCATTTTTTTTGTTTGTTTTTCTATTTGTTTCTATTTTGTTTTGTCCTAGAGAGAGAGTGATTCTCCCCGTTTCTTCAGTTTTCCTTTCCAAATGCCCCTGCGCCAGATTTTTGCTTTGTGGTTAACATGGGAGTTATAGAATACTTTCTACACCTAGAAATGATTTTTGTATGACAATCTTCCTTTCACTCTAGTTCTTTTACTTTCTCCCCTTATTCTTTTGTTGTTATATCACTAAAGCATCTGTTTAGGTTACTATATTATTATCCTCTTGCTCAAGATTTTACAATCGTTCATTTATTTTCATGTAGAAGAATCCCTTTCAACTTTTCTTGTAGAGTAAGACTGGTGATCTTCTATTTTAAAAAGCCTTTATTGGGGCTGGAGCGATAGCACAGCGGGTAAGGTGTTGCCTTGCATGCAGCCGACCTGGGTTCGATTCCCAGCATCCCATATGGTTCCCTGAGCACTGCCAGGGGTAATTCCTGAGTGCATGATCCAGGAGGAACCCTTGTGCATCACTGGGTGTAAGCCCACTAAAAAAAAAGAAAAAAAGAAAAGAAAAAAGCCTTTATTTCTCAATTGCATATGAATAACCTTGCGAAGTATTCCTAGATGGCAGGTTTTGTCTTTGAGTAGTGTGGATGTCACTCTAATCTGTAGAATTTTTGCTGAGAAGCTTGATGAAAGTCTGATAAAGGTCCAGTTCTAACATTTTTTTTTTTAATCACTGATTTCTGGTAAGTTAACAATGTCCTTGTCAGGTCATTTTAGATTTTTACAATGTGGAAGCTTTCCCATTCTCCTAGAAACCTCTGGTTAGTTTTGGTTTGGAAATTCTCCAACATTATGTCTTGGTATGAGGTACCTGATCCCTTGTCTTCCCATCTTGTAGCATTCCCATAATTCTGATATTCACTCTTGTAATAGTCTGATGTTTCTTGGAGACAGATTATTTTAAGTCTTGTTCCTTTTTCCTCTCTGCTCAAGTAATTACTCTGACTTCTTCCATTTCCGTCCCTCTTTTCTCTTTAAAACTCTGGGATTATGAGTACCAGGGTGATACAAGAAGTAGGACCATATTAGCATGGCAAAGGTAATGTCTGGAGTGAAAGTTGGGCCAGGCCTGTAGTCTTGGAAACCAAGGTAAATAGTCAACATCTAATTCTTTATGCAACAGAGGTCACTGAAAATTCTTAGGGAGGTGGTGTGATAAGAGCTATGTATAATCTTATGATAGATTAGAATGAGTCAGCAGTGGATTGAAGAAGTTGCTGTCATGGTGCAGAATGACAAGTGAACCAATACGCAGAAAGGAGGTCGGTAATACTGACTTGGTAACACAGTGTTCTATCCCCTATAATCAGTTTTTGGTGTATTTTTCGATCACAATTCTAAAGCAACTTCAGAACCGAGCAGAATGGCTGGCTTTAAGAGTAAGATCACTGAGAACAATCATTTATCTATCGGGCTGCTTCAAAATATTTCCTGATCTATCTATAATTTTTATTATGTCCATGTTTTTTGTCAACTCATTAAAAGAAATGAGAAGATCCCATATAAAGCTTGCATTTTCCAAAGCATCATGAAAAGGAAGTTTACTGCATACCAATGAGCAGACTTTATCTTTATAAACAGAAACATTAGAGAGTAAAAAGACCTTGGGGTTCCTTTTAGTTGAACCTCCTTCTTGTATATAGGTAACTGAAGCAAAGTCACAGGACCTAGTAATTTATCTTGTCTGAATTAGAATTCAGGCAGTTAATCACTTGGCTGTTCTGAAATCTTTTTTTTAAGAGGCTTTATACTGGGTCAGAAAGTTAGTACAGCAGGTGAACATCCTTGCCTGTATACAGATGACCGGGGTTTACTTCCTGGCACCAAATATGGTTCCCCAAGAACTGCCAGGAGTATTCTTTGAATGCAGACCCAGGAGTCAGCACCTAGTAACCAAGGGCTGTGGTCCCCAAACAAAATTAAACAAAAGAGGCCTTATACAAAGTTGATTAAATTTACAATCATATTATTAACATTTCTACTACTAAACTGCTACAGCATTGGGTTATGATAAGGAGTGGTATCTCGTGCAAAGAACAAGATACCACTTGGTACCACTTGGTACCACTCCTGCACTTGGTACCATCATTACATACTAGGGGGAATTCTAGACCTTGTTTCAAACTAATTTTTAAAACACACTTATTATAAGGGGACTCTTAATTATGAAATTTCAAAGTGAACAAAATAAAACATAAAAGTCGGTTTTCTCATCAATGAACTGATGAGAATAGTGGCTATACTGTGAATGTTTAAAAAAAAAAGAGGTTGTTTTTATGAAATCGAATGAAGCGATTTAGACAGGCAAATCATTTAAAAAAGCTGAATTCCCAAAAGGTTGGAAAGATTGTGTTGCTAGATTACATACGTTTCTTTTCCTCTCTAAAGAAACCAAAACTAGTGATGATAAATCAAATTTAAATGCCAAAACTATTCTCAAACACAAGACCTTGATTTTGACAAAAAAAGTTAGCAAACAAGTAACAGTTTTAATGGCTCTCCATATTAATTAAAATCTTTTATTCATTAACTAAAACGGTTCTGTGGGTCTGGGAATGAGGGCATTCTGTGTAATGTTTCTTTAATCTTTTCTCTCTATAACTGCTCTTTCAAGATTCATTTTGTTAAGTTCATTTTACTAAGTTGGTGGTATTATCAAGTAGCTTGAAAACATGATAAAATTATATATCATTTGGTTGCATTGTCATGGTCTTTTATCACTGTTACTTTTGGCTGAATTATGTATATATGGCTGACATTCAGTTTTCCTTCTTGCTCAGGAAAAATAATGGTAAGGTGCTTCCTTTGAATTTTTTTTAGATGAATGAAGAGACGGAAATGTGAGAAATATAAACCAATCAGAATGAAAGAGATTTTATTTTAAAATCAAATTAGAAAAAAGAATAAGAGTGTCTGCGGCACCTACCATTCATCTAATTTTTGCTGAAGAATCAGCAGTTGTTCCTATTAACCATCATTAAAAAAAAGAATACTCCATTTCTTTGCAGCATCTATATTTGGAAATAGTAAGTTCTAAGAACTCTCACAATTTGATCTGCTGTGAATCTTCTGTTTCTTTCCTTTCCCCTTTTTAGGTTTGGTTCCTATACATGACAATTTTCTTTGAGGGCAATGCACATTTTGTGAATTACTGGGGAGGGTAATTCTAAGAAGCATTTTGATTCTACCCTGTTAGCATGAAAATCCCAAAATACTATAGGGCATCTGAAATAAGATCAGTAAAACTGGTTTAGAAGACAAAAGTTGGCTATTGGTCTTTATAGGCTAAATGATAAATTTATCCTTAGGAGGCTTCTTGTTTGGGGGCCACACCTGACAGCGTTCACAGAATCCTTTGGGTAACCCAGGACGGTGGCATTGAAGGCTGGCATTGAAGGCAAGCTCCTTACCTGCTCTCTGGCCTCAAGGAAGCCTTAAGTTTTTTAGAAAGTCAGTTACTTAACTGATCATATTCCTCTATTTTATTTTAAAGACCGTTGTAGGTGCTGTTGGAAGGAGAGAAGAGTGAAATGGGGCGTATGTTGTGGACACTGGGAAGCTACTGCAGTGATCCCAGTGAGAAATGACAGGCTTCTAGCCCAGTGTTCAAACTGGAATCCACAACGATGACACTGAGCTATTAGAAAAAGTGTCGTTGTATTTGGTATATCTGTGGCTGCAGAAAAAAATGTGTGACACACTTTAGCAAGATTTCTGTAGATTCTTAATTAGCTGGGGGGAAATGATGCTCAGCTATTTGGAAAATAATCCAGAATAACAGCCTCAGAGCCCACAGAGGCTTATTTCTTTGTGTCCTACATTGTTGCACTCATGCTAACGTTTATGGTTTAAGAGGCCTATTTACTTTTTAAATGAAGAGTAGAAAATTTATATAAGGTAAAGCATCTTCATTTACATAGGAAAATTTCCAAAAGATAAAAAAAAACCACGACAATACAAAACAGATTTCCTAAAAATAGTGAATGAGTCTGAGGCTTTGTGGTAGCTTTTGACAGCTGCCACGTGAAGTGCTCTCAAATATTTCTTTGGAATCTGCACATGGCACACAATGACCTTCACCCAAATACAGGTCTCATATTTCTGCCACGGGGAATGCAGACTTTGAAGGGATGGAAGCAATCTTGTTTCACCTATGGGACGCAAGGGTTTTAATCAAGAGGTTTTGCAATGACAGCTTATAATGAGGCAGCTGGTATTACCAAAAAGGCCATATGGAACGATCACAGTGCTGCTGTAAATGGGATCAATTAACAGGTTCATTTTCAAAACTTTCACTGAAGTGAGTTTGATCACAGAGGCCTCAGGAAAACAAACATAGGGTAGGGAGGGCGAGCAGGACGGCAGGAACCTGACAATGAAGTGGATTCTATTTTTAAATTAGGTGAGAAAAAAGTCATAAAAGAGATACTCACACCTAAAAATCTATAACGCGACAACTCGTGAATACGAATAGCCTTTTTATTTCATTGATTTATATGTGGTTAAACTATTCTTTTATATGGGATTTAGACACATGTCTTTTCAATAACTTCATTAATCAAAGACCAAGTTTTTTCATGTTGGCAAGAGGAGCACTCATGTAGGAATAATCAATAGGCGAGATACTACAAAAGCAGATTCGAAAACAAGAAAAAAAGACTTCCTCACTCTGTAAAGTCCTTAAGAGCACACATGAAATTAAAATTCTCAATTATCAGCAGATTAAGGAACGCAGTCTTTAAGGGAAAGAAGAATGCAGAACTGGTGCTGAGGGGGACCGAGTGATAGCACAGCGGGCAGGGCGTTGGCCTTACATGCGGCCGACCTGCGTTCCATTACCAGCAACCCCTATGGTCCCCTGAGCACCGCCAGGAGTAATTCCTGAGTGCAGAGCCAGGAGGAACCCCTGTGCACTGCCAGGTGTGACCCAAAAAGAAAATCAAAACAAAGCAAAACAAACAAACAAAAAAAACCCCAAAACACAAAACTGTTGCTGAAGAATGTATGTATCCATTAACTGGTGCGTGATTCCTATTGTTAAATATTGTTAAACTAATGAGGGTTTGTTATTTTTCATATTTTAGTGCTCTTTAGCCTTATGTTTTATGAAATTTGTTTTAAAATAGGAATATTTTCTACAGGTATACAGAAAGTCCTTGAATAATCTCATTTTGTTTTCGTGCGGACAGGAAAAAAATCTGATCCCACGTCAAATAAAATGACATCATTTGCGGGAGTGCTTTCCTCAGACACGACTTTTTTAAAAAAGCTGTTTTCCGAAAACCTATGGAGAGCATTAGGTAAGGATTACACCCACAGCTGGTTGTGGTCACAGCTCCAGATCTTCCTTTAATGAGTGGTACTTGTATAAACTATGAGTGTCAGATGATGAACCTAGGCAGGAAAACGCGAAAATTCTCTAAAGTCATCATTACGAATGCAGTTCCAGGTTCTATTGAGCAAAGCCCATTCATGGTTAGGCTCAGATGCTCTAGATAAGTTAGTCGAGATCCAGAGAGCTAGGTACCAAGTTGCTCAGTGCTCTAAGAGTTTCAAGTACACAGGGATACAAATAGAACATTCCTGTCAATACTGTAGGGCGGATCAAAAGAGCTCATGCAAGGGCCTGGGAGATGGGTTAGGGTGGGTGCCTATGAGGACCGACCTGGTTTTCCCCCCTTTCCCAACCGCACGGCGGTCTCAGGCCCTGGCCCTGAACCAGCTGGCCAGGAGTGCCTCTGAGACAGCTGAAAAGTTTACTTACGTTATGGATCATCTCGAAGTACTTCTGACAGGCTACCTGGTAATGTGTCCCTTTTACTAGATCCAGAATCTGAAACGATGGGGGAAAGAGAAAAGAAATGACACATTAAGGTTTCTTCTAAACCACTTTAGCTCACAGTTGTTAGCCTTTATAGAATCTTCATTCTAGACAGGAAATGCATTAAATCATGGCGCATGTTGTATTTCTGCAGTCTGGACGCTGTGATAATTTTGACATTATACGGAATTTGTTTGGTTCACCATTAAGCCACAGATGACAAGAGATAGTGACTGATCTTTCTGACCTACCGACTGTGAATATCAGACTCTTTGCCTTGACAATGAGAAAAATTAGATCCGAGTATTATGACTTTGGCAGTTATTGTCAAACATCATATTGGAACATCTTTTCAAAAATCAAAGATATAAATCAAGCTATCCGAGTGGTTGATGCATGAAGCAATCAAGTTGACTATTTAGATTTTTTATTTTCTACATTAGCAATTTGTACAGATACAGCATAAAATGCAGCTGTGTGCCCATCGGGAAAATTTAATATAAACCCTTCGGACGAGTATCTGTAGAGAGGGGATGCTTTTAACTCGAATCAGATTTGTCCTTATTTTTGAAATGAAGTTATTTCTAGTAAAGCTCAGCAGAATATGAGAGTGAATAGTTTATTCTGAACACCTATTAAGAACATCATCCTATCTTTTGTAAATACAATTTGCTTTCCAACTCTACTTCATGTAATCTCTTCAGAGCAGTGCAACCCCCTTTCCTTATCAGCAGAGTGCCATGCCAGTTGAAATTTGTAAAGTTTCGCCCCCTCCCCAACCTCGCCAAATAAATAAAATGTGTATTTGGCATGTTTATCAAACAGAGTAAAATGCTGGAATTAAGAGATAGCCTCAAATGAAGGGAACTAAAACGCTGAAGAAACATTAATTTCCATCCCTTTTTCAGAAGACTAAACTTCCCATGACAATAAGAAATGTACGTTAAGTCTCCAGTGCCTGTCAATCTCATTATTGAATATAGCTTACGTTTTTTAATAGAAATGGAAAATTATTACTTCATTTCCAGATGGGCACTATATAATAATGACAAGTGTACTTAAACGAATTATTTTTACTCCGATTATTTTATAGATTCATATGTAGTCTGAAATTCAGAAATGTGTCACCTTTCATTGAGCCCTGTATGAAAGATGAATATAGACGCCAACGAATCACAGCACCCAAGACTCTGCCCACTTTACCTACTTTTCTTGAGCTGTTAGAGTAAAACTTTTTAAATATCGTTATTGGAAGATGCTGATGTTTTAGTAAACAAATGCACTGTCTTTTTAAAAATTCTAACACTATTAGCTCACATTTTCCACTGTTTTTAAATTCAGATATGCAAATTGTGTTGATGAATCTGTAATTGATTAATGGCAAACACTGGTGATGCTAACATGTAATAAAGTGTAAATTACACTTTACCTTTGGAGAAAGAGGACTCTAAACATAAAGTCAAGTTTAAATGACATCACATGGCAAATTTCAGGACTCATTGGATAGGGTATGGGCCGGTTCCTCTCATCCCGCCCCCCTTGGGACCCTGGAGGTCACGCCCATAAACTGTCTACTTAAGCTTCTTAACAGCTGTGATCCTGAGACACACGAAAGAATCTCTGAACCAAGCAACTCTCTGCAGAGATTTCTCCCGATCGTAAATATCTGGAATTTTGGACCTCCAAGAACATCTTCGGCTATTCATAATGAGCAAAACAAAAAGAGTATGGGGGAGATTGTCTGCCATAGAGGCAGGGGGAGGGGTGGGAGAGGGGGGATACTGGGGTTCTTGGTGGTGGAAGATGTGCACTGGTGGAGAGTTGGGTGATCAATCATTGTATGGCTGAAACTCAAACAGAAAAGCTTTGTAACTGCATGTCACAGTAATTAAAATAATAATAATAATAATAATAATAATAATAATAATGGAACGATAGCACAACGGCAGGGCGTTTGCCTTGCACACAGCCAGCCCAGCCGAGCCGGGTTCGATCCCGCCGCCCCTCTCAGAGAGCCCGGCAAGCTACCGAGAGTATCTCGCCTGCACGGCAAAGTCTGGCAAGCTCCCCGTGACGTATTCGATATGCCAAACACAGTAACAACAAGTCTCAAAATGGAGATGTTACTGGGCCCGCTCAAGCAAATCGATGAACAACGGGAGGACAGTGTTTGACAGTGTTTGACAATAATAATAAAATAAACATTCTGAATTTTTAAAAAATGTGGACTTCATGCCCAATTCAATCAGCTTACTCAATAGCTGAATAAACAGCCGTACTTTGCTGTTTTGCATGCAGTAACCCTGGGTCAAATCCCTCGTGCCCCATCTGTCTGCGTGCCCATCATCCTCCCCACCACCTGTCTCTAGAGGCAGGAATAAACTCTGAGTACAGCCAGGACCCAAAAGCAAATAAAAAAGAAGCATGCTGATTTTCCGTAATAACGTGTGGTTCAGGGATCACACTGAGCTGCATGCAGAGGACCATCTACGGTGTCTGGGACTGAACTGGGGTAGGACACAAGCAAGACAAGAGCCTTACCCCTAGATGGTCTCTCTGGTCCCTCTCCTTAATAACCTTTTTTTCTTACCTAAATCAAAAGACTGTGAGAAAAGCAGATTTATGTGTCTTGACATTTTAGACGATCAAAAAAAAGTAGTCACGTACACAATCCCTCCATGGCCACAGCTCCATTTAAAGCTCTTTGGGGCCGGAGTGATAGCACAGCGGATAGGGCGTTTGTTTTGCACGTGGCAGACCCGGGTTCGATTCCCAGCATCTCATATGGTCCCTCAAGCACTGCCAGGAGTAATTCCTGAGTGCAGAGCCAGGAGTAACCCTTAAGCATCGCTGGGTGTGACCCAAAAAGAAAAAATAAATAAACAAAATAAAATAAGCTCTTCCTTAGGACTGGGGACGTGGCTCAGAGGCAGGACACGTCCTTCACATGTGTGAAACCCTGGGTTTACTCCCTGGGGCTCAGGGTCCTGAGTGCTCTCCAATACAAGCAAAAAATATCAAGCTTTGGGGCTGGAGCGATAGATCAGCAGGTAGGATGTTTGCCTTGCACGTGGCCAACCCAAGTTCGATTCCCAGCATCCCATATGGTCCTCTGAGCACCGCCAGGGGTAATTCCTGAGTGCAGAGCCAGGAGTAACCCCTGAGCATCGCCGGGTGTGACCCCCCCCAACAAAAAAATCAAGCTTTTCCTTTTTTAAAAAAAGCAACTTATTTCTCCTCTAACTTTTTGTTTCAATTTAATGGGAAGAATTTCTTTTAATATTTTCTTGCAAGTCTACAAATAAATTATCCCAAAACTACTGCTAAGCAACTTTCCCAGTCACACTACAGCTTATTTCAAAATCACAAATCACAAATCATCCTGTTATTCGTCGATTGCCTCGAGCAGGCCTCAGTAACGTCTCCTTCATCCTAGCCCTGAGATTTTTAAGAAAGTGCTGTATTCAGGAGAATGAGACCCATCTTTAGGAGAATGAGACCCATCATTGTTACTGGTATTTGGCGTATTGGGTACGCCACGGGGAGTTTGCCAGACTCTGCCCTGTGGGCAGGCTACATTCGGTAGCCTGCCAGTTTGTCAAAACAGCTTATTTAGGTAAGCAAAAGTTTCTTCACAGATGCAAAGGTAAAAAAGGGGGTCAAGATTAGAGGGGAACTTTCACTAGCTGAAAAAAGACTACTCAAAAATGAGAAAGTTCAGCCCAAAGGTGAGGTAAAGGAGAAAAATAACAAACGAGGGTTGGGCAATAGGAAGGATGTGACGGTGCCTGTCTTCCACACAGCCAACCCCAGTTCAATCTATGGCCACCACATACAGTTCCCGGCACGGCTGAGGTGAGGGCAACTGGGTGTTGTTGCCTTCACTTTAGAGAGGAATAAAGACCTATTGCAAGAGGAATATTTGTCTCGTGAGGGCCCTGTGCTACAGAACTGAAAAACCACATTACAACGGATAATCTTGCTTTCCATATACAGTGTATGAAAGCACTTAAGTTTTTAAGGTAAATCGTGGAAATGTGAAACGTTACTCAAAAATTCCAACAGAGAATAAAAATAGATGCTTTAATTTCACACTGCGATGTATTTTAGAGATACAGGGGGGCGGGGATGGGTACAGAAGGGTCTTATAGACCGAAGAATGAAGTTCGGCTTTTTCCTGAGGAATATGGAGAGCTACTACAGTGTTCTCAGCAGAGAAGTGAAATGAACGGACATTTGTTTCCCTCCACTTTGATGCTCTTGCATTTACAGTGACTGAAGGTAACACACACTTGCTCATCACAGGAGTCCCAGAGTAGTAGGACCACACTGTGTGTGGGTTCCTGGATTCACATTCAAGCAGGCGCTTCACTGCTGAATTTGGTCTAGACTCCCCTGATTTACATTTTTTTTTTATTAGTGAGACACCATGAGGTACAGTTGTAGACTTACAAATTTTTGTGTTTGGGTTTCAGTTATACAATGATTGAGTACCCATCCCTCCACCAGCTCCCATCCTCCACCACCACGGGTCCCAGGGTTCCTCCCGGCCCCCTTTCCCCCCCCATCCCACCCTGCCTCTGTGTCAAGGCATTCCCTTTTGTTCTCTCTCCTACTGGGTGCGGTGGTTTGCAAAAGAGGCATTGAGTGGCAATCATGTTCGGTCTAGAGTCTACTTTCAGCATGCTTCTCCCATCCTGGGAGGATCCTCCCAACACCCTTTACTTGGTGCTCCCTTCTCTATCTGAGCTCCCTTTTCCCCTAGAGTGTGTGGCTGGCCTCCAAGCCATGGAGCAAAATTCCTGGTACTGATCTCGACCATTCTTGGGTGTTAGCCTCGTATTTTGTTACTTTATGTCCCCCAGATGAATGCAATCTTTCTATGTCTATCCCTCTCTTTCTGAGTCATTTCGCTTAGCATGATACTTTCCGTGTAGTACCACTTGTATGTAAATTTCATGACTTCATCTTTTCTAACTGATTTACATTTTTAACAATACTATTGTGCCTGC